GTTTTAAAAATAAAGATATAATTTAAATATCACACAACGTTGATGTCACTAAAATTACTTGTTTAAAACTTTTTTTTTTTAATTTCAATATTCAAATGGTCAGAGTCCTGTTAACTAAGGGATTTAATATAAACAGATTATCAATAAATTTCTCTTAAAATATATAGATACCAAAAATTAATAAAATAAGATTGGAAAACTAAAATTTTTCCCATTTTGTTCACCTACTGGCCCACTGTGCGCTGGTAGTTTAAAGGTTAATGTCTTAAATGAGAATAACTTGACATGCCTTTCTGAATGTGAACTTACATACTGCCTTTCTGAATCTGAACTTATACTCTTTCTGTAAGTAATTCTGCGCATACTTTCCTTGTTGCATTATGTGTTTATTGTTATAATACTGCTGTTGTTGTGCCTTATGTATAATAAAATTAGTAATTTTCTAATATTATGTTATTTGTTTATCACATTATCCTAATTACAATAGTGACAATCGTAATTGTTTGGGTTTTAACACTTAAACTAATCATAGTTTTTTCCTGCCATTACCAGATTTCTAATTAATTTTTTATTTTTTATTTTTTTTTCTCAACCTTATTTATCCATTAATTTATGGTATTTATTACCTAAACACAAGAAAAAGTTCTGTGGTTTTATTTTTGTAAATGAGAAGTTTTGAATTAATGGTTCTATACCTACTCTTTCATGTATCAAATTAATTACTAAATGAATAATTTCAATATATCATACCAAATTAAAATAAATATAGACTAAAAACAAAACGAGTACCATCACTACACAATTTTAGAATAAAATAAATTTAATAAAAAACACATTTTTATAGTATACTGTATCAATTTAAACTAAACGATAAAAAAATAACTATAATTAAACGTATATATTAATTTGCATATAATCTGAATATAAAAGTAGTAGCTTAAATAGACCATATAAATTGAACTAAGTAGAAACTTAATTTGAAACAAATATTTTACTAATAATCGGATAAATTAAACTTAGTATTAGTCTTAAATTGAAGAACCGCAGTAAAAACACATTGACTAAAAACTCTATCTAACCATTTCAATACCTTTAAAATACTATATTTGGGGGCTTTCTAATGATATATAACATTCAAGTATTTGATCCATTTAAAAAGATTAGTCCATGTACTTAACTGAACTGCAATTAAATTGTGGTTATTATGTCTGATCCAATATTTGTTTTAAAAAATGCAACACTGCATCTTTAACATAATGGGGAAGATTATTTGTTAGCTTTATAAAATTGTTCATGTAATGAAAATATTGACAAATTTGTAGCCATCCAATTTTTAAAAAAAGTTTTTAACCTGACAAGAGTGGCTGTGACTGACTGTACTGCACATATATGCAATCAAATCTTTTTATTTTATTGAAATTATTTGCAAAAAAATATATATACTATACCATTATATATTTGTATATACACAACTTTTATGGTAGCACTTGTAAAATACTCACATTAGCAAATGTTTAAAGAAAAAGTTCAAATACTACTTTAAATTAAAAACTAACTTAATAAAAGAACAACAAAATACAAATCAGAAAATATATTTTTACCTTATGTAGATCGTATTAAATTTTCAGTAATTGATAGCTTTATGTCATAAAAGGTATTGCAGAAAATATATTTATGACGAGTGTTCGCAAAAGTTTGTGTTACATTTAAACACTTTTAACCTAATTAAAAAAATACCAATCTAAAATCTTTTTCTTTTATGCACATAGTAAAAACTATAAACATTTAGCTTAGTCTCGAGCACAATGTAAAACTCAAGTATATAGACATAAAGCACAATGTAAAATTCAAGTACAAACTCGAGCACAATGTAAAATTCAAGTATATAGACAAGTATATAGACAACACAGCCAAAAAGAGAGTAAATTCCAATAAAAATTCAAAACGCCTCGTGATCCTACGCGATATTTAATACCATCCAAAATTAGGCGATAAAAACGCATGCGCTAGTTTTTTTTTGGTCTGGATTTTTATGAAAATCGGCAACCTTATTTTGAATGTCATTAAAAATCCTTAACCGTTTTACTCAATATAAAAACGATCGTGACGTCATGAGTTTATCAAAAAAAAAAGTATATCCGCATTAAAGGTATAAAAATTCACAAACTTTAAATTAATAGTAACTTTTTTATATAAATGCTTTCATCTTGCAATTAAAAAAATATGAAAGATCTATCTTTCTTTGTTAAATAAATATTTACATTAATTGGTATAAAAATAAATATTGCCAAAATATTTTTAATAATTTAGAACCACTTTTCTAATTTTCGCATATTTTCCGGAAAACATGAGTTGGGCCAACTAAGATTTCATAACATAGCTCTGTGCTTGATAGTTGAAATTTGGAACACTTAACCCTAAATGTCCATTCTATCAGATTCCTGCGTCATCCTAGAGATTTTATTACAAAAAGACTGTTTTTAAAGCATTTATATTTTTTAACTGATCGTTTTTAAATGCAAAACGTAACTTTTTTGATAGATGACGTAAGTTAATGAAATTTCAACCTTTTATGCAAATGAAAATAAAAAAATTATTTTACGTGCCTTCAGCTATGTTATGAAATATGTTTTCAAAAATGTGATGTTTTACAACTAATCTTGTTAGTTTTAGGCGTACATTTGTGTTGACGTTTTTTTGCGATGACGTAACCTTTATGCGTTACGTCCCAAACTATTTATTAACGAATATTCTTCAAACAACTGTTTCGGCGAGTCAATTTTTGAAGTATAAAGTAAACAAAGTTACGCGGAATTTTTCTCTTTGGATTATCAAACTAATATCAGATAAGTTGTAAAATCCACTTTTATCTAGTGCATATATTTGTTAATTAATATTATTTTATTTGTTTTTATTATATTGATTAATAAGTCAATATTATTTTCATAACTATGTACTCAACTGAGAGGGAAATTCTAAAACAACATATTGGGTGGAAAAATGGTTGGGAAGATAGGGAAAAATGGTTGGGAAGAAGCGATTAATTAGGACAGATAAGATCAGTAACAATGTGATTTCCATTTTAATGACAGTCTTTAAAATAAGAAGTGATTTATTTAGTTTTATGAGTTTTCTTTTGCCAATTGATTTTGATATGCCTAGTAACGACGAGTTTGATAAAATGTGCCTAAAGTTAACACGCCAAAAAAAAGGAATATCAAAAAAATTTTAAAGTTATTAAAAACGAAGAATTTTTTAAAATGCAACTGTCACAAGCTCCACCCAAAAAAAAAAAAATCAGCAGATGCAGATGACTTTTTCACTTTAAATAACAGTCAGGAGCTACTGAATCAAATTGATCAATTAACTTCTGAAAATAAAACAAATATGGAGCAAATAGAAAAATTATAATGCAAGTATTTAAGTTGGAAGCTGAAATAACAGATTCAAATTCTAAAAATAGGGCTCTCAACACACATTGTAATTCATTAAGTTCTCAATTAGAGACAATGAGTATTAGGCAAAAACAGGAGGAGCAGTCTTTTTTTAAAAAAAAAAAAAATTAAAACAGCACAGCATAAATTTGCATCTGCTCATGCCAAAAATGTAAGATTGCTAAAAAAAAATTAATATTGAAAAAAAAATTGCAAAAATTAGTGATTTAAGCCAGAACAGTTGCCAAGTTTGCAAATGTTTTGCTAGTAGCGATAAGGATTTAGTTGTGGTTGATTCTTATTTAGACTACGACATTATTGGTTCCTCTGAATTATTTTGTGGGTTTAAATTAAGTAATCCACAGAATATATCAGTTAAAAAACCAATAATTTTTAAAAATTATACTTACATTAAGTTTGGAAATGGTAAACCTTATTCTAAGTTAGGTAGGCATGCTGCAGCTAGACGATCTAAACTTGCTTTTATATTCCTTCGATTATTAGCTTGTTCAGATTTAGAAAGTGATTAGTCTATGTTGTTTTGTGATTCTATGTCTTGTGAAAAGTCAATATTTTGTTGTGTTGCAAATAAGTTGGGTTTAGTTAAGCAGTTAAGTGTTTCTGATGCTGTAAAGCTACATAGCCAATTAAGGATGCCCACGGCTGAATTCCGTAGACTAAGAGGTATTCTGTGTAATCTTGGTGCAAGGATTCTCCCATCTGAGCCCAAGATAAAACAAGAACAAGAAATGCAGACAATGCATGTCAATAAAGAACATGTCACTGTGAAGTCCATGTTACTTTATCCATCTGCGAATGAAGCACCTTGTTTATTATCTGTACTGATGGTCAAGAATTTGACAACTTATATTGAAGAGGTTTTTAATAATCTTTATGTACGCAACCACCTTAATTCAGATGTCAGTTTTGGCGAAGAAGTATGGCTCCTTTTTGCTGGTGATAAGAGTGGGAAATATATAAAATTCCATTTTGAAGTTGTCAATTCTAAATCATCAGGGTCTGTATACGATGTTCACTTGTTTTGTATGTATCAGGGTTCAGACTGTCATGAGAATAGTTCTCGGGCATTTTGCCAACGACATTAAAAGAATTTAGTCGTCAGATTTTAAGCTAAATAGCAAAATAGTCAGGTTGTTCCTAGGTATAGATTTTCATTTTATCGATGATGTTCTGGGACACCAGGGTTCAGCTGCTAGCTTTCATCAATATATAAATTTATTTGCTATTGAGTTTCATGCATGCTTTCCAAATGAAAGTATCGCACGAAAAATGCATGAACTTATTTTTAATGTGCCATTATTTGTAAAATTCCATAAAACTATTGGGTTGCTAAGTGAAGAGGAGGGAGAGTGTTTGCATAATAGCGTAAATAAAGAATTAAAACAGTTGCATTCAGTAAGAAATCAGGAGCAGAAGCTGCATCTTGTTTTAAAAGGCATTGAATTGCACAGCAAAGCTGATAGGAAGCTTCACGCCTCTAAGGTGAGAAAGTGTGTTGTGTGTTCTGAGCGTGGCGAAAATTCATTTTAAAGACAAGGTCTTTGTCTTGTTTGTGGTCATCAAATTTAGTTAAAATATTTAAAAAATTAAAAACAACAACAAAAAAAAACTATTTACAAGTAAGATAAATTATATGAGATCTTTAATTTATATATAAGATAATTTTATTCTGTTCTAATATCTGTGTAATGCTAGTTTAAAATATTATTTTTTAATATATTGATTTTTTATATTAGGTAGGTGCCCATTCTGTTCCTATCTTCAGAAGTTATTTATACCTATACAATACCTTCGCTCAGGTTAAAGAATGGAATACTAGTCTTGCATCAAGTGTATGTAAAAATCTAGCTTTTATATATTAACTTGTGATCAGAGCAACTGGTATGTTGGTTGGACATCATCTTGTATGTTTGTGTATTTAATTTAAAAAATGTATTGTCCTTTATTATATGTAACATTTTTTTATAGATATTTTACATATCCATTCGATGTTTATCACCAGAAGTTAGTTCTACCTTTGCAGTACCTCTGCTCTACATACCTCCTCGCTGGTTAAAGAATGGAATATAAATCTCATATCAAGTTGGTGTAAAAATTTAGTTCAATAAATTAAGAATTTGTAAACGTTATCAAAACTTTGAGTGGAGCAATTGTTTTTCTGGTTTAGCATGAGTATGAATCTGATATCAATTGGATGTACAAAGATAGTTTACTACTTAAAGAACCTATCAGTAAACCAACTGATTATAAAACAGTTTTTAATGGGAATAAAAACAAATTTTCAAAAGATTTCAATTAGCTATTTGTATATTCAAACACTTTATTTACTGAGAGAAAAGACTAGATTCAAGTATATAAAATAATTCTACTACCAAAAGCGAGGTTAATTCAAAAACTTAAACTCAAGTTTGGTCATGAATTGTTTTATTAGACTTGGCGAGTCTTTATTTATTAACAACTTAACACCATATTATTAGAACTGTATGCACAGAAAAAAATAAATGCTTAAGCTTTAAATGTTTTGACTAAATATTCCAAAATCGAAATCTGGCTTTATTTTGCAATGCAATGAATTTATTGGCTTAGGAAAATAAGTTTCTAAAACAAGAACTCCTAGGTTTAAAAATGTACTCTTTTAACAGCTAATCCCCCTTTTAACTACATTTTTCACTTTGCGAAAAGTGCGGTTTGCTTTCAGACCTCAATAAAGTCTGTTTTAGCTATCCTTAAACAATTAAGTAAGGTTTTTTTGTTTCTATAATAGTCAAACAATGGGTATATTTGAGAATAACTATCAGAAATAAATTTTTCTGATTTTTTTTTGATAAAAAGTAACATCAAATTATTTGAATTCTGCCAACTTCATCATTTGTCGCGTTTTTTTTAAACTTAAAGAAGTTTTTTTACTAATGCATTAAATGTCGTAAGATGAAACATTTATTGGTGTTTTTATTCTTTTTACAAAACAAAAATATCTTTAATATATTAAAAGTTATAGAAGTTTTAGTAACACCCTTTAAGTCAATAATTTCAAAAAATAACAAGAAGCCGTTAAGCTCGGTTTGAAACAGCCGTGCGTAACAAGCTATACCGTGTGTAACCAATTCTGGTTTTGGCGGCCTACATAAAAATTTACAAATTTTTTAAAAATAAGTTAATTAAATGGGAATAAAGCTAATTTCATTGTTAATTATCTTCAAGGTTTTCCTATTTGAAAAATTTATCCAATCTTGCTTTGAAACTATTTACAGTTGTGGCACTGACAATGCTTTTAGGCAATTTATTCCAAGTGTTCACCACACGATTTGTAAAAAACTGATGACGCTGTTCATTGTTTTTAATTAACTCTCTAAATAGCTTGAAGTTATGACCTCACGTTCGGCTTTGATTAAAATTTCTTGGATAAGAGAGCGAATTCACGTTACACCAATTTACAATATCGAAGCCATTTTTTTTTTTTTTGAAATACTGTATTAGGTCACCTCAAACTCTACGGTCAACAAGAGATTGAATACTCACAATTTTTAATCTTTTTTTGTAATCCAATTTTCTGAGTGATGGAATCAAACGAGTTGCTCGGTGTTGTATTTGTTCGATTAAAATTATGTCATTTTTTTGGTGAGGGTTCCACGTCGATATTGCGAATTCCAAATGAGGTCTCACAAACGCTGTACACAGCGTTTGCGAGACCTCATTTTACTTGATAAAATAACATTTCATTAACAATTTCGTCTTACTAGATAAAATAACATCTAATTCCTTTTCATCGTTATGCGATGTATATGGATATATATCGAAATATACGATAATATCGTACTACAGATTGATTATCCGGGAATGGAAAACTAAAGTTAACAATCCTAAAAACTAACTTTTAAGAATCTCTATTTTCAGGTTATTTACTTTTATCTTATTTTGTTTTTATCATACTTTTATTTATTTTTTCACCTTATCATATTTATAAAAAACTTCAGGAAAGAAAATTTCATTATTAAAATTTTTGATGAAAATGGTGGCCTTTGTGATAATGATATAAATACGGGTTATTTAAATCAAAACAGTTTAGAAAGTAAATCTTACACAATTTCAGAATGCGCTCAACATCTTCAACAAAATAAAAATAAATTTTCAGTTTTGAATATTAATAATAGAAGTCTCAACAAAAACTTCGAAAATTTTAAAATATTGGTAAAAGAACTTAAGTATGCTTTTAAAATAACTTGCATTAAGTAAACATGGTGCAAAAATGATGAAACACTTTCACATTTTGAAATGAATAACTTCGTTTCAGTTTACCAACCACGAGAAGTTCCTACTAGTGGAGGCGTGAGTATTTATGATCACAGTTCTATAAACTTTGTTTTACGTAATGATCGTTGCGTGAATGAAACAGGTTGAGAGTCTTTACGTATTTCAAAACAAAAAAAAAAACATAATTATTAATACTGTATATAGAAAACCATCTGGTGATTTTAAAAATTATTTTAAAACTTTCTTTACCAAAATGAATAAATCGTGGAAGCATGTTTACATTGCGGGGGACCTGAACATAAATTTGTTAAATCATGACAAAAGCATTTCTTAAATTCTCTACTCCAAAATGACTTAATTTCAATAAAACTGATAATTAGCTTTGTGCTCGTATACTCAAGAATGACCTCTCGGATCGTCACCCCACTTTTTTAGTTTCTAATATCTATAGGCGACTGATCAACGAAAACTCCTTGCAAAAGTTTAAAATTTTTTTAAAAATTGACGTTGATTGGGATCTTGTTCAATCGCAATAAGTTAATATTGCCGTTTTGCAAACAGTACGAAAGTACTGTTTCAAAAAAGTATCATTTCCTAAAAAAAAATGTGTCATTAACAGCAAGTCACTTTTAAAAAAATGTATAAAAATGAGACAACAAAAATTATAAAAATCTATTTGAAAAAACCAAAAAACACTCTAAGACAATTTATTTCGCAAAAAGTTATAAAAAAAAACAAATGAAAACACTAAAAAAACATGGCATGTTATTATGAAATAATTGGAAAAAACAAAAATATAAAAAATATTCTACCAAAAAAACTTCTGATTATTAAAAAGCTAGTTTATCAAAAATCTTCTATTGCTGAGAATCTAGTCAGCTTCTTCGCTAATATTGGGCCTAACTTAGCTAAAACAATTCCGCTGAGCTCATCAAATTTTGATTTTTATTTAAAAAGATATAGTACGTATATGGACGAACTTAATCTTAAAGTTTGCGAATTGCGAGATGCTCTTAATAGCCTTTAAAAATAAAAGCGCAGGTTTTAATAAAATTAGCGCCAATATTGTAATATCTGTACTTGATGTCATTGAAACATCTTTATTACATATCTTTAAACTTTCTTTAAAATCAGTTGTTGTTCCGGGTAAGTTAAAAATTGCCCGAATCACACTAACTTTTAAGAGTGGAGATCCAACATCTCAAACAAAAGACCGATTTCTATCTAGCCTTGTTTCTCAAAGATACTTGAGCGTATAATGTACGACAGACTCTATGATTATCTGACAAAAAACGACATGTATAAAAAACATTTCGGGTTCAAAAAAAAGCATTCAACCGAACACGCAGTAGTCAAACTTGTAAACGAGTAATCGGACGCTCTAAACAACAATTATTTTACATTTAAAGTTTTTATTGATCTGTCCAAAGCCTTCGATACTGTAAACCATGATACACTACTAAGTAAACTTGAACACTATAGCATTAGAAAAAAAAATTTACTTTGGTTAAAAGACTATTTAACAAACAGAAAACAATTCATTTGCTACGATTCAAAAGAAACAGTTTAACACTCAATAACTTTATCATCAAATTTTATTCTATTTACAGATGACTCTAATCTCTTTTATTCACACAAAGATATTAATACACTTTTTAAACATGTTAATGAACAATTAAATAAAGTTGATAAGTGGTTTGTAAGTAACAAGCTTTCTCTCAATGCTGATAAAACTAAATTCATTTTGTTCCAAAAATTAAATAAAACTGATAACAACCCATTAAAATTACCAAACCTTATTATAAATAAAACTATAATTAAAAGAGAATCATTGGTAAACTTTTTAGGCGTTGAATTAGACAAAAATTTAAGATGGAATTTTCATATAAACAACCTTGAAATAAAAATTCTAGAAATATAGGAATGATTTATAAAGTTCTTTCAACCATTTCTTAATTTTAAATCACTAAAAGGTTTATACTTTGCTTTTATCCAAAGTTACCTAACATACTGTAATATTATCTGGGCAAGTACCAATCATACAAAATTAAAAAAGCTTTACAGTAAACAAAAACATGCATGTCGAGTTATATCTGGAGCAAATAGAGCGGAACTCTGTAAGCCTATATTGTGTTTACTTGGAGCTTTAAATATATATAAAATAAATTTACATGAAATTTTAGTTTTTATGAATAGGAATGTCGCCAAAAATATTTGAATTTTATTTTAGTGAAATCTGCCATAAATATAGCACAAGATTCTCAGTCAACAACTCTGCTGTCTCGAGTTATAGTTTAAAATTGAGTTCATACTCAATTAAGTATCGTGGACCATATTCATGAAACTTATTTTTAGATGTTATAAATAAAAAGAAAACCACTCTTGATCGATTTAAAAACGAATCTAAACGGATGTTCTTTTTAATGGATCTCACTATGCTAGATTTAAATTTGTTTTTTTTTTAAATAAAGTAAAGCTTTAATAAAAAATCAAGATAATTAAAAAAAAAAAAAACTTTTAAAATAATGTCATTATCACCATTGCAAAGTTTAATGATATTACTCTCTTAATATAAATATATATATATCTCTTTTTTTCATCTTTTTTTTTTTGTTACAACAGGTATATAATCGTTTTTTTTTTGCAACCGCAGCTGCCTTCTTTTTGTAACTGCAGATAATGTAAGCATTTTATCAATTATTAATTACTACTTTGTATATTTACGCCAATATAATATGATATTTATAAATCACGATTTTATCAAAATGGGGCTCGGTGATAAGACAGAATTATGTATTCTTCTTGCTTTAACCATTAGTTATTTTGTTGTATTTATATATGAAAATTGTATTTATTGTAGAAGGCGAAATAAA